TTTTTAGTGGGTTATGTCCATGATGACCCCCATTTTCAAAAGACAATTATAGTTTCGAATTTTGACCTGAAACTTTGCCCAAAGCGAAGTCTCACTCAGACTAGCTTCTGTGCAAAATTTTAGAACTTTTGGATCTAGTATTTTTGAGATATGCATTTTTCAAATTTTGCAAAAGTTACATGGACAAACGCCTAAATTTTGAAAAATTCATATCTCAGAAAAACTACATCGAAAACTTCTGAAATTTTATACAGAAGCTAGTCTAAGTGAGCCCTCGATTTGGTCAACGTTTCAGGTCGGAATAAGTATCTCGGGAAATTTCCTTCGAAAATGTTAGTTTAGAAATCGAAAGTGGGTACACTTAGATATTGAAGTCAAAAGTGACAGTTCAAAATAGTATCTGTTAACGGTTTTGTTATTAAAATAAAACTTAAAAGAATATGATATCATGTTATAAAAAAACCGATTAAATCGCTGAAATTGTATAAGAGATATTTACAAAAACTTTTGTTGGGGACTTTTGAGACACCCTGTAGGTAAATATAACACATAGAAATAAGGGTTAGGGATAGTTTTAAGGGTACCCCCCTCTTCTTTGACACTTGCTGGTTCTCGAAGACGGTACAACCGATCAAGCTGGAATTTTTAGCACAGATAGAGCACTAAAAATAAAGAGATACGTGTTCGAGGAAAAAAATTTAAAATAAGTTTTTGTGGGGTTTTCAAGAAAACTCTGGTTTTCCAGAGGTCCGCATCCTGACACATTACGACCCCCCTTAAAGTTTGTCCGATTGGGCTGAAATTTTGTTTATAGATGCCTGACACTATTCCTCAGAGGCAAATTTACGGATTTTTAAAAATCTCACTTTCTTTTTTTTTTATAAGAGAAATACGCCATGATCCGAGTTTGTGCTTCGGATCTTGGCTTTCGCGACCCTGTAACTCCGAGTAGGAACATCAAAAATAAAAACGCTTGGTTTTACCTCTGGAGAATACTTCAAAGTATTAGTGGTAAAATTTTCAGCTCGATCGAACAAGCTAAAAAGGCGGTCGTAAGCAGTCAAGATGTAGAAAATCACTGTTTTACAAAATGCTACATAAAAGAAAAAAATTTACATACGATTACTATGAAAAAAAAATTTTTTTGATCTAATAACTACGTAAAAGTAAAATGTTTAGAGTCGAATAATGTCTCTAGTTGCATGTGGCGCTTCAGGCTATCGTATCTTAGGCTCAGCTCGAAATCGAGTTTTTGGTTACAAATGAGGGGGGGGTACCCTTAAGGGTTAAGGATAGGAATTATGATTAAGGATAGAAATAAGGGTTAAGGACAAGTTTAAGGGTTAAGGATAGGAATTAGGGTTAAGGATAGGTTTAAGGGTTAAGGATAGGAATTGGGGTTAAGGAAAGGAATTGGGGTTAAGGATAGGAATTGGGGTTAGGGATAGATTTAAGGGTTAAGGATAGAAATTAGGGTTAAAGATAGGTTTAAGAGTTAAGGATAGGAATTGGGGTTAAGGATAGATTTAAGGGTTAAGGATAGAAATTAAGGTTTACAGATAGAAATAAGGGGTTAAATATGAAACTAACGGTTGGTTATAGCAGTACTCGCCAGTACTAGAGTAATTGAGTGTGGCGAACTACATTTTACTACTCTAGAACCATTTTTGGAAGAAAAAGGGAAAGGTTCCAGCTAGAACCAGTTTTTGATTAAACCTTAAATGACTCGGAAAATGGTACCCAAATCTAGAACGTTAAAAGGTTCAGTATGACACCTTTTTTTCTGAGTAGCTAGCTACAGCTTTTTTCCATTTCGGAAACCTTTTTTTTGGGTTCCCGAATGAGTATTTGAGGTTTCGATGTGATGGACATTATGGGTTTCCGAGACCTCGGAAACCCTTCTTCGGAAACCCTTCTTCGGAAACCCTTAAAGGGTTTCCTATAGTAACAAATTCGGAAACCCTCTAGGAGTTTTCTAGGATACCTATTTTTTTAGAGTGTAGGATTATCTTCATATAACAGGACATTAGGACCCAAGGGTATCTTCAAGTAATAGGAGATGAGGGCCTAATGGTATCTCAATATAATAGGAGATGAGCATCTAAGGGTATCTTCGCTTACGCTCATGAGCGTGAGCGGTACACCCCTAGTTACATTTTTTCGGTGTAAAAAGCTTAGATTCGTAGAGAACTCGAACTTTTGGGTAAAAAAAATGTTTCTGGCTAAATTTGAGTGAATCACTATTGTATAAGGACCCCAATAATGAAGAATAGGGTATACAGAGTGGTTAGGACTATTTCAGGAATAAAAAGATTTTGAGAGCTCTCATTGTGATATTCTTAACCAGCACCTCTCAATCTATCACTACATCTGATTTTGACTCGTGAAAAAAAAAATTTTTTTTTTCATGATACCTGAGGGGTACCCCAGGCACAAAAATCGTCAATGTCGATTTTCTGGAAATAAAGTTGAAAAAAGTGATCAGAGACGTTCCCGCTTCCCACAAGTCAGAAACGCTCACGCTCATGAGCGCTCACATGAGCGTGAGCGTGACCGCTCATACCGCTCACGTGAGCGTGAGCGCTGGTACCGCTCACGCTCATGTGAGCGTGAGCGCAAAACCGCTCACGCTCATGAGCGTGAGCGTGAGCTGTACACCCCTAGTGCTCACTAGCCGCGGGGTTGCAAAATGAAAAAAGTTTCATTACTTTCATGTCAAAAAACACGAAAAACTGGCATTTTGGATGATGAACTAGACATTAATTTTGAAGTACTTCAAATTCTTAGATTTAAAGGAATTTTGGAACGAAGCACATCCAATGAATTCAGGTTTCAATCGAAATGGTGAAAGTCAAATGATGAAAATATATGTTTTAATCAATGAATCTGAGGTACTTCAAAAATGGTATTTCCCACATCATCTAAATGCATCGCTTTTTATCTTCAAGTCCTCGGATAGTTTTCAAATATTCATTAAGAATTGGAATTTTATATTTGAAAAAGCCAAGATGTTTTGAAGAGCAGGGCTTCTTTCAAATAGTGGATTGTCGTTACTTTGGGAAATCTTCTGTACAAATGTTATAGAACCTTAGTTTTTGAGAAGTAACTTACATAAGTTCTCATTCGCAGCTATTTTTAGTAGTTTTGTAGTTCATAATTTCAAAGCACTGCAACATTTGAAAATAATAACCTAATAAGAGCGGTGAGTGTATATTTTGAAAGAAGAAGTCTTGTTCTTCAAAAGGCATGGTTTTTTCCGAATTTAAAGTCTCCTTCCGGCTTTAACATTTTGAAAAATAAAAAGCACCATGACTGGCTGAAATTAAAAAAGCCTGAAACTCATTAAAAATGTCTTTTTCAAGGTAATAACCGGAAAATTTCTTTCTACTTTCAATGCACTTTATTATCGATTACTTGGAAATTGAAAACAAAGCAAGCTTTTATTAGTCAGTTAAGAATTATTACAAAGTAATAATTAATTAATATCTTTATATATAGTTAGACGAGTGCTTTATACTAAATGTAGTTCGCAAAAGTCTTCAATGACTGATAAGAAAAAAATACTTTCAGTGATTGTTGGTTAATGAAGACATTGGCTAAACACTAAAATTGCACAAATTTTTGTCCACTGTAGAAAAAGCTTTCGTGCAGTAAAAGTGGAAAAACTTATGCTGTAAGAATTTTGCACAACTCAATTTTGTAGACCGTTCTGACAGCTATCGACGACACTGTCTAGATCTCTTCATAAAGTTATTTTTAAGGAATAGTCGAAACAAAATAAAAACGACGCTAAACTTTCTTCATTCACTTTAGTTTTAAATTAATTCGATTCGGTTCGGTTCCAAAAAAACACGACTTGATCACATCACTGATAGAATGATATAACGAAAAATGCGGCGGATTCTCCTTTTTACTGCAGTAAGCATCGACTTGTGATGATAAAGGCCGTAGGACGAAAGAAAAAAAACCTGCCGACCTTCTCTTACTCGCTAAGGAAAATAAACGCGTAAAAAATGATATCAAGGTATTTCGGTTCTCTTTCTTTTTCTTTCCCTTGTTATATATATGAGCCTTGATGTATGTGCACATGGTATTTATTTCAGAAGGAATGAAAAACTAACTAAATAATATATATGATGTACGTAGATGAATGCATGGAGAGAGCCAAAAAACGAAAGGCCAATTAAATATCAAAAAGAGGTGAAAGAAGACAGAGAATAAAACTAACTGAAGATAGTTCGTATGGATATAGATGTGGATATGGGTATGCGAGCGACTGTTCCTGTGAGATGACAGTGTTGGTCTAAAATAGACTGATGCCTACAGTCACATTCTACACCCACACCCATACCCTATGTTATTAATTTTCAAGAGGAACAAAATCTAATTGAAAAAAAAGATCCAAAAAAAGAATTTGAATTTTTCTCATCATCGGTAAGTCTTATTTTTGCAAATATCTCATTGCGACATCCCTTGTTTGTGAGGTATATGAGTCAATTTATATAGATATGATAATTCAAAGATGCTATAGTTATCCTTTAATAATAAAGAGACATTAAATATTAGAGTTTACAATAGAGAAGTATGCAAAGAATTAAAAGCTGTGTAAAATCCGATTTGAATTGGATTTTTACCGTTTTTTACTACAGTACTTTGGCGTCAAATTCATAATGAAAATTTGATTTTTTTCAGTTTTACTATTTTTTGCTGTTTTGCATTTTTTATAAACAATAAAAGATATTTATTATGTGTTGTGGCTATGATCATGTAGAGGCGGCTACCAGCTATAATTAACCCTATGTTAACAAGTGACAGCTATTAAGAAATATAAACAATTACTCATTCTATGTATAACTGTCTCTTGTCGTATTTTGATTTTTTTATTTCATTGTTAAGTGTTTATTATAGTTTTATACATCTGTTATATACTTACACATAGCAGCTATCATTTGCTCGTAGCGATTTATTTAATTGTTCTTATTCGCTTAGTTATAATAGAAATGAATATTGATCCTGGTAACAGTAGTGGTAATCATGGTCGTGGTGGTTTTCGTCTAGGTGCTGGTCGCAAGCGAAAAGAAGAAAAATCATCAATTCAAATCATATTAAATGAAAGAAGAGAACAAGCTACACGTAGACAAGAAATGTCGAGATACAGAGCTAAATTAACACAATGGATAAATGAAATAAAATGGTCACATCAAGGTATTACATCAACTTATCGTGACAATGCAACTGCTCTACTGGTTATTTTTAATCTTATGTTAGAAGATGTTAATCTAACACAAGCAGAAGCAACTGCTAAAGCTAGTATATATTTGGGTCGTGGTGTTTCTGCATTGAATATACTTATGGCTTATTGGAATAGATACGAAGAAATATATGTTGAATCAGGTACGAGAGGTGGATCAGCAGGACAACAATCAACAAATTTATTTACATCTTTACCTTATTTTATCATACATACTATTATGGATCGTTATGCTGAAGGTACAACTACAACTGTTAAAGATATTCAACAAATAATTGCTGATACTTATAATCAACAAATAGGTTATTGGCCGATATATTATCTCATGCATGATAAAATGAAATTATCATATGGTTTATTAAAAGATTGTACAAAACTAACACAAGATCCTGATCGTCTGAAACGTATTCGTCAATTTCTTATTAAATATTCCGTTGCTTTAAATTTGGAAAAGAATAAAGAAGCAGTTATTTGTTATATGGATGAATCATATGTTAATACCGGTCATCATGGTCATTATGGTTGGTGTGCAAATACTGAAGATAGAAAGATTCATACTGGTACTGGTATTGGGAAAAGACTTATATTAGTTCATGCTGTTACAAGTGATGGTCTTCTTCAAAGCACTGATGCATCAAGTGATGAAATCGTCTCTGCTGAATTAATATATGAAGCTAAAAATCCATCGGGTGATTACCATTGTAATATGGATGGACATAATTTTCGTTTATGGGTCAATAAATTTTTATTTCCAGCATTTGAAGCAAAATATGGTCTAAACAAGCGAATGATACTTGTACTCGATAATGCCCCTTATCATAAAGAACAAGGTAATGATTACGCCAATATAAAATTAATGTCAAAAACTGATATGATTAATCTTTTTTTATCGAAAAAAGTACGTAAAGTAACAGTGATTAGAGATGGTCATACAAAAGAATTTAAAGCTAATGAATGGAAATTAAATGGTCCTCTAGGTCCTTATAAGGAAGAATTGAAGATATACATTCAAAGCTGGATCAAACAATATCCTGAACTACAAAAGGTTTTAATAGAGAAATTATTCGAAGAAAAATCTTTAGCTGCAAAAGTTAATATGCCCAATTTTCATTATCTTATATTTACTCCACCATATTGCCCACAAGTTCAACCTATCGAATTAGTATGGGCCTATGTTAAAGGTTATGTGGCTAAACAATTTACACCTTCGAGAACTCTTCAACAATTAACTGAACAAACAAAAAATGGGTTCAATGGTGATGGAAATGAACATGAAGGAGTATCTACCGAAATGGTTAGAAAAATGATTTTACATGCTCACAAGTACTGTAATATGCTTATTGATGATGATCCTTTGTTGGAAGGATCTATAGACAGAATTAAGAATGGAAATAAATGTGAAGAAGTAGATGAAAAAGAAGAAGATGAAGATGAAGATGATGACATCAATATGGATTCATTAGATAATGTTGATTAAACTTTTATTAAATAAAAAGATTTCTAACAACATTTCTGTATTAAGTTAGCAGAGTAGTAGATAGTTACTAAAGATGTTACTTTTCGTATAAATCAGTTCTTATATATGTCAAATAAATAAGCTTTAAAAACTGATAAATTCCATGTCACACTTTTTTGGACATACATATTTATTTATTCTCCCTACAAAGCCAATACAATGATTAGTTGATATTACTATACTATTTGATGGACCGTAGTGTCCTCTAGCAACCGTCAAAGTATGGTCACAAAACAGCAAAAAATCATTGTAGGAGAAGTGATTCATTAGACAGGCCATTATTATGAATTTGACGCCAAAGTACTGTAGCTTAGTGTGACTATGTACGAGTATATTGCTCAAAAATATTTTTTTTCAAATTATTCTGAGCCACTACAAAACTTGTTGAAAAAAATAAATATATGATGAAATCGATTGTGAATTACTCTACAAAATTTATACGAACTAGACTTTAAGATCAAAAACTTCTTTACATGGCGGCATCCTTTATATCAGGCATTCGTCACTTACCATTCGAAACTCTATTTAATCTCGCAGTAGATAACAACTTGAATAGATTAAACTATTTCTATATATTAATTTCTTACTGGTAATGCAATAAAATATTTGCTTTGATTCTTCCTATGAAAAACATGTAACTAATGACAATCTATACAAATAAAAAAACAAACCAAAATCGAATGATATTTTTTTTAATAGAGGAAAAGAAAAAATGCATGTTTGTATCGAATACGACACGTGATATTCGAAATTTCTATATAATACTTTTTCTCCTCTATTTCATGCATGACTGAATAAAGCATATTGAGTTATTTGAAAAAATTGTCCTTCCTGATTTCAAAAGTCAAAAACATCTCAACTTTTAAGTTTTTTGTTAATCTTTTATTTTATAAAAATATTCTTTTAAAATTTATGAGATATAGTTAATTAGAAAAAAGTAATTTATTGGAGTTAGTGAAATAGTATGTAATAAATAAATAATTGGAGTTTGAGTAATTGTTAAGAAATAATGTGTCTAAAATTCTCAAAAAAATTCACCTTCTATTTGATTAAAAGATTTTCGAATTTTTCTAATATGATTTAGAACAGATTTTTTTGGTTTCTGGTCTGATATTTGAGATTTTTCAAAGGTTGTTTGAAGAACTGAGTATTGAAAAGTTGTGAAATATTCTTTAAGATAAATCTAAGTCATGTATCCAATTATGGAAGCATTTAGAATTAACGGGTGACCCATAATGAATGTCCGCTTTTTGCATCTCATATTTTAATTAATAAATAGGTTGTATTAAAAAAACAAAATATACCACAAGATGCAGCGTAAAAAGCTCTACAATCTACAAAGTAAAGCTTATTTTAATTGTATACGTTTTGTTTTCAGAAAAAGTAAAATTCTGTGTGATCAATTTTCGCACGGTCGAAATTTGGTCGCTCAAAATTTTGCCCATTTTGAAAACAAAAAGTGCAACTATAAAATAAGCGGTCTTATGTAAATTGTAGAGCTTTTTACGCTGCATCTTGTGGTATATTTTGTTTTTTTTAATAAAACCCATTTATTAATTAAAATATGAGATGCAAAAAGCGGACATTCATTATGGGTCACCCGTTATATACTTTTTACAACAAATTTCGAATCAATTCTCTGCCCAAAGCAAAATTATTTAACGATTAACGAACCCAAATTGAATTCATCATTTGAAGAGAACAGTGTAATAGCATTAAAACGATTCCGATTTCATTCTCGCACTAAGACACAAGATATTTTCAAGAGTATAACTTATGATCAATTTTCTTGTTTTTCAATTATGCCATGCATTACAAAGAAAGAAACGTAGTGTCTGATGGATATCATTTTAATTGAGTAGACTGAATTCCTGTGACCAAAAAAATGACCTGATGTCCATATCAATGGCAAAATCAATAATAACTCTGCATTGTGAATTGCTCTGTATATAATATTTGAGAATTACTTAGGTCAGTCCAAAAGTAGTGGCGGAGGTATCATAATTCCTTATAGGAAGCTCTTAGAAAATTTCTTTTTATATAGTCTGATAGAGAAAAGAATGCTCAATTTTTCTATGCTATTTGATCATACTTCAACTAATATTTTAATAATAAACTTTCGATGAAGTCTGTTTCGCTTGAAAATGTGCTGGTTGTATAGCTGCTCATTTCAACAAAGTTATGAGTATTTTTGGAATGACTTTTGAATGAAAAAAGATAGAGCTGCAGTTTTCACAATTGGAAAGAGGAGATGAAGGCGCATCGAGTTCTATATTAAAAGAATCTTCTGACCACGCTTTCCAAAGATTTTCCAGTGACATTTTTGAGAGCAACGCTACTTCATGAATTGTTTACATTGAGTTTCCAATTGTCAGGTGTAAAATCAAGTCACCAATCAGAGATCTACAGAACTGCGAAAATATTACCGGTCTAAATTTAATCATCCAATATTGATACATATTTTAGTGGGAAGTCTACGTTATTTTTCGCAAGAGTTTATGAAAAAATCACTTTTTGTTTTTCCTTTTTCTAATGAAAAATTATTTTTTGGAACTTTGAAAATTGATTAATACAACTCGAAAATTCATATTGGAAACCCTTGTAATATAGTGTTTGATGCCCCTTCATCTTCTCTTTTCAACTGTGAAAACTGCAACTCTCAATCTTCTTTCATTCAAAAGTCATTCAAAAAAATACTCTCATAACTTTGTTGAAATGAGCAGCTATACAACCAGCACATTTTCAAGCGAAACAGACTTCATCGAAAGTTTATTATTAAAATATTAGTTGAAGTATGATCAAATAGCATAGAAAAATTGAGCATTCTTTTCTCTATCAGACTATATAAAAAGAAATTTTCTAAGAGCTTCCTATAAGGAATTATGATACCTCCGCTACTTTTGGACACCTAAGTACATATGTGAGAGTAAAAAAACCGTATATCAAATTTTATATTAAATGACCACATTGTTTCATCAAACATCATTAAATATGTGATACTAATATAACTATGTGATGAGACCGTTTCCATATAGATACACATCATAAATAGAGTAGTTTTAATCATTTCACGTCTAGATATATTCACATTTATTTGATAGGAAAGTAATAGAATGATACACTTACATTCATATATGACGAACTTTTCTTTCGAATGGTGATTCTCAACAATACATTATTACAATGCACATTGATTTGATAATCTCTGACGAAATTTTGATATGTTCACCTCTTATTTTCAAAACCTTAGTACTAGAAATCATGAGATTTTGTCATTTAAAATGAAATGAAATGAAATGAAGAAAAGCTGTATTTGCGGATTTGACCAATTAGGTTCTGAACCGCGAAAAAAAAAATTGCGTACAAATATGAACTGTGATTAGTTACTTATTACAAAAATCAAGTAGTTTATCGAAAAGTGTTGGTGTATCATTTTGATAAAACTTTTTAGTTCTTTTTCTTGGTCGACCAATGAGTAAATGAGGAATACATTTTTGTAGAGTAAAGTGTTTTTGTAAAGTATTTTGATTTGTTGATATTGATGAATATATCTGAGCATTGGCATTTCATGATTTTGAATAGTAGTTAAACGCTTTTGTATAATTCGTTGAAACCGATTTTGAAGCGTTGGAAGAGACCATGTTTCATGCAATTCAATATTAGTCGTATATTGTAAACAATAGATGATGCGGAGGCATTTTCTATAAAACTTGTGACATTTTTCTTGGGTGTTAATTGAACATAAGATATATACAATAGAGATGAAATTAAAATGAGGCCATATAAAAGCAGAGAAAAATCGATATTTCAATGAAAAAAATGTAGGATATATATTGTTTATGAATGTATTTTAGAATAGTGAATGCACTATTCATTTTCAGCAGTTGGTGTTTAATAAAAGCATTAAAACTTAATCGAAAATCAAGAATATAGCCTAGATATTTAAATTGTTTGACTAGTGCTATTGGTATAGAATTAAAAAATAAGTGTAGTCTTGATGTTTGAACGCATGAATAATAGATAACAAATTCACATTTTGTTGGATTAATAGGTTGATGCCATTGGTTAGTATAGTTTAAAAGATAATTCATTTCAGTGTTAATTTTTCGTTCTAAGCTAATGAGTTGCTGTTGAAAAGATAGAAACATTGAAGGCACATGTATTACTGCCAAGTCATCAACGAAAAGATGACAGTGTTCAGGTTGGTCAAAAATATCAGGAAAATCGTGATGATAAACAATAAAAGCTGTGCTTGCAAAGCAGCTACCCTGAGGGACACCTGATTTAATATGAATAGGTTGAGATAAATGTTCATCAATGTCAATTATACAAGAACGGTCTAAAAAATAATTGGTAATCCATTGCATGTAGGCCAGTGGACATTCAAGATAAGAAAGTTTCAATAAGAAACCTTGTTGCCATAATTTGTCATAAGCTTGAAGAAAATCTATATATACTACTGTTGAAGTGCTATTGTAGATCGACGATTGAGTAAGTTGTTGTAAAAGATACTGAACTCGTGTGGCAGTTGACTGATGTTGACGTGAACCTGATTGTTGAGATGGAAGAATATTAGCTTTATTCAGCCACTGATGAAATCTAAGTAAAAATAATTTTTCATAAATTTTGCTAAATACCGATAATAAGTTTATAGGTCTTAATTGCGATGTTTTTGGTACTGGACTAAGGACTTTATTGAAACATAATAATCTTGAACATTTCCACTGTCGATCCCATCTAGCTGATGCAAATAATTTATTATAATTATTAATTAACATCGGGTAATATGCAGTTGGCACAAGTTTAATCATCTGATTTGATATTCGATCAAAGCTGGAGAATTTTTTGTTCGCTAATGATTTGATAATTGAATGAAGATCTTGAGTGGTGAATGTTAAATTAGAGTATTTTACTTGTTCTTGAATTGAATTGTCATTTTTTACAGTAGTTAATCGTTGCCACAAATCATTTGCATTTATATCAGTTTTATTTGATATATCTAAGTTAGGACTGGCAAATCGATTTTCGAAATGTTGTTGAAGATATAATAAGATGGATGCAGGTGTTTTATATATATTCATATTATCATCATCTGTAATACCCGAAAAACCTTTCTTCGGTTTCTTGTTTAGTAATTTAACATGATTCCAGAAAGTTTTTGGATTAGGTGATGCTAATTTTGATAAAAACGAATTCCATTGTCTCGCTTTATGATTAAGTGTTTCTTGTTTTGTAATTTTTGACCATAAACGTAAATCAAGACGGTCATTTTCGAGTTTTGTTTTACGATAACGATTTTGTAAATAATGTTTGTATTTTAAAAGTATT